TTTTTTTTTTGCCTTCTTTTTTTTTTCCTTTCTTTTCGGTTTTTCCTCTTCTTTTCCTTTCCTCCAAGACTCCCGTTGTTCGCTCCTCCCGGTCGTGTTGTTAAGTATGGTCTGGTATGAAGGGGGAGAGACAATACTCATCCCGCCAGCTTTCCTCCCTCACGTATTGATGCGGTGCGGTGGCAAACACTCAGGCGGTCCATGAGAAACGCTGCAGGCCCTCCTGCGCCTTCTCCTGGTTGCCCTGGGCCAACTCGAGGAAAATAACTAGCAGATGGTAGGCAAGAGCCACGCTTTGACTGCTGCTGCTGCTACTGCCGCCACCGCTGTTGCTGCTGTTGGTGTTGCTGCTCTTGCTGTTACTGCCTTGGGCTAGCTCCTTCTCTTTTGCGGCACGGCTTTCGCATATCTTCGCCAGTAGAGACTCTACAACGGAGGAAGCCTGGTTCCATGAACCGTTCGCGATGTGCGTGATAGCCAGGTTGATGAACAGTGCCTCCACACGACTTTGCTGGTGACTGTCCAGCTGCTCCGATGAAGAAGAGACAACGAGGTTCGACAGTGTAACGCGGCGCAGCACCTTCATGGCCCGATCTGGCTCATTCAAATGCACCAACGCCTCCACCATGTAGGAAAGAAGGGCGGCGTACAGATTTGGAGAGAGCGGACGGCGCTCGTGCAAGCTAAGGAGGTCATACCCCACGTTGGCAACGACGGTATAATTCTTGCGGGAAACCTCGAGGGCGCACCAATAGAACAGCGCAAAATGAATAAGCTGCACGTTGTGTGGAAACGCCTCTATAGCACTAACAGCGGTGTGGCCCTGCGGAAGCAACAGCAGTAAAGCATTCTGCACAGCAATACACGCTAGGTTCTCTAACGCTGTACCAACTGAGCTATCCTTTGGATCCACAAGTGGTCCCTGCGTGATGACAGCACCTGGTAAAATAAGGAATTCATAGTTAGGAAGCATCTTACCACCCTGCAGTTGCTCTGAAAAGTGATCCTGCATGCGCTCATACTCCTCGAGATTCTTTGCACGCATCTGCGCCTGCAATTTGCCAACGGCGGCCTCCGCGAAGCGCACCCAAAAAATAGGGGAATTCTTCATCAGTTCTTGCACAGAAAGAAAACATGTTATGGCGCTGTCATACTCCCCTCTCAGTAGTGCACAAAGACCAGCGTTGTACACTATAGGCTGCCGCATCAAGAGGGCGTTGCATTGTGTCGCAGACTTCTCTGCCTTTGCGAAACAAAGCGACGCCACATTCATTTTGGAGTCACCCATAGTCAAAACACCGAGGTTGTTAAAGTACACTGCCCACTCCGCATCTGATTTGTGCGGCACCTCGTGAATATTGCTGACGTCAGAGAATGCCACGTTCACCATGCGATGGAGTGCAGGATCCTTTGTGAGTTTACTTAAATCTTCAGTAACCACCTTCTGAACCAATTCCTCGTCGGAACGTTGCCGGTTGCGGCCGCCTGCCGTTCCGGCCGTGATGGTCTGGAAAAGGCAAAGCGCGCGTCCCAGAACCGGGAGGGAGATGCTGCCGTGCATCCCCAGCAACGCACGGAGAATGGCGGCAGCCTCGTGCACAAGCCCAGATCTTGCAAGAAGAAGGGCGCGGTTAAAGTGCGCCGTCTCGTGCCCCTCGTACAGAAGCGTGATGGGCGGCCGCGCCTCCTTCTCGCCCGGCGCGGGGAGACCGTCGGAGGAGTTGTCGGCAAGCGCCGCGATGGTCTGCTCGACATCCGCGCGGTTCTGCAGCAGCCGCACAATGGCGAGGTTGTGCTGCGTCTGCAAGTCATCCTTCGGCATCGCCTGGAGAATAGCCTCGCACTCTTGATAATTCTGTGTCTCAAACGCCTCACGGGTTTTTTCTAACTGCTGCCTCAGGGCATCATCTGCCATTTGCACGCGCTACCTATTCCTTTACTTCTCTTTTCTTCTTTTTTTTTTGTGGTTTGAGGGGTATGTAAGCACGCGGATGGGTGTTTGGTTTGTTTAACGATTGGTTCATTTACCAAATCCCAGACGAAAGCAAAGAAAAGGTAAGACGCAAAGGCAAATTATCACAAAGACAACAAACAGATAAACGAAAATCTCATTTTTCCCCCTTCATAGTCTCATTCCCCTTATTTTCAGGCACTTCTGCAACTCGATTCACTTGCACCACATATGTCGCTGTACATGAGTGCTGCAGCTGTTCATGTTCGTTGTTGTTGATGAGCGAAATACCATCACTTCTCTCGGGGAGGTATCAGCATCCGCAGGAACTCCTCCCTCGACACGCGGTTGTCGTGGTCAAGCACGTCTGCCTCCTCAATCATCGCCTTCAAGACATCCTCCGGCATGTCCTCACCAACCTCCGCTGCCACCCGCTTAAGGTCGTCGAGGGTGATGTACTCCGAGTTTCCCCCTGTGAAATGCGGGAAGGCGAGGCGCACCTCTTCGTTGTCGTCCGCGAAGAACTTCCCCTTCATGATGGCCTCGAACTCGGGGAGGATGAGGTTGCTCGACACGCCGCTCTTGTCCATCTCTGCCACGAGCTTCTTAATGATGTCCTTCTGCGGCTCATAACCTAGGGCGCGAAAGGCGACCTTGAGGTCGTTGGGTGTAATCGTCTCCGTACTGTCCACGTCGAGGATGCGGAAGGCCTCAGCGATGTCTTGCTTCTGACTTTCCGTCAAGTCCGGCGGCAGCCGCTGCGCCACGGGGCGCGAGAAATCACCTCCACTCATGGCGTGTGCACCGGCAGGCGCGCACTCTCAGTCCCTCCTCCCTTTCTGCTGCTCTCCCTTTATCGGCGTGCCTAGCACCTGCTGCTCCTATGTGGTTGGTTGGGGCGTGTGGAAAGCGAGGGGAGGGTTTAGGAGAGCACACCGCCACAACTGCATGTGCAGCAAGCACCTCATCTGGGTGGCTGCACGAAGACCGGCACACAGTCTTACACACCGAGAGAGACAAAACACACGCATAGACCGAGAAATAAACCAAAAAAAGTGGCAGCAAACGTTTACCTAATATATATATATATATATATATATACTACTGGCGCACACACTTTAAACACGCAACTGCCAATATTCAACAAAACTTCCTCACATCCCCTTTTTCTTCTTCGCATTCCGCATGTGTTGCGACGTTTCGAACGGCTGAGAACGCGCCGCCTCACCAACCTGCGACAGTGACGCCGCACAAGAATAAGTTCATCCACGGGGGACCTCGATGGGTTTGCCGCCCGCAGAGTCATAGAAACACTAAAAGTTGGCAAGGTGCGAGCTGCGGTGGCACGCGCGAGAGTGGAAAGAGCCAACACATACTAACACACACGCAGGTACATGACAGTGCATGCGTGTGTGTGTATGTGTCGGCGTCCAGCCCGCGCGCTAACTACCGTCAGCCGGTCGCG